GGTCCCCGCATGGTAGGGCCGAGAGCACCAGGCCGCCGAGTGCAGGAGACAGGTCCGCTCTCGGGCGAGAGCACGGCTCCCAGAAGGGGAGGCGGGCGTGGCTAAAGCGAGAGCACGCGCGTCTGAGCTGGGCAGGTGGCTGGATTAGACTAGAGGAAGAAGCAACGGCATAAACATGATCTTGCGGAGGTCCGCGCGGAGTTCTCGGATCTGCGCCGGACCCCCTCCCTGGCGCGCGGAGCGCGCCAGGGGCGGCGCCAGAGGCGCCGCCAGAGGGGCTCCGGCGCAGACCGGAGAGATCCGCGCGGAGCGCCAAAAGTTTACGCTTATGGCGTTGCTTCTTCTCTTCTTCTTCTTCTTCTTCTTCTTCTTCTTATTATTATTATTATTATTATTATTATTATGATTGTTATTATTCTTCTCCTTCCTTTTCTTCTTCTTCTTCGATAGACGAGGTTCCACTCTGAACTGGCAGCCTGCGGGGCCCACGACCCCGACCCAGCGATGGCGTCACACTCTGTCCGTACCGTGGGCGGCGCGGAGCCGGGAGCCTCGCTCGTGGCCCGCGGTGGAAGCCGCCGGCGCGGAGGCACAGCGCGGCACCGGGCTGTGGCTGGCGCCCGTGCGAGACAGCTGCTGCAAGCTCGGGGCCTTGACCTAAGGAGCCCAAAGTAAGGCACGAGGCCCCTTTTCTCCATAAGTGAAACTTCGATTTCCTATCGAAGACATCAGGGAAACCCGAGGCAAGCTGTGAAACAATCAAGGAACACCGAGCCCCTCCCCAACGAAAAGGGTTCCTTCTTCAGGGCCCCGACTGTACAAGCTCGGGGATGCGGCCAGCACAAGTGCGAGAGCGGCACGTCCTGACTTTTTGCGAATATCCCCGGCGGTGGGGTGGGGACCTTAGGCGAACGCAGCGAAGCGACATTCTGGCCTTTCGCAGCGAACTCCCGGGCGACAGCGGCATTCTGGCCTGGGAGGGCGGCGGGCGCTGAGACGGGCTGGCGCTGAGGCGGGATCACCACTGTTCGGGGCCGCGGACGGCCGCAGCCGCCCTGGCCCGGTCCCACATGCGGGCTGATGCGAATCGGAGCTCAGCAGAGAAAGGAAAGGCTCCTCACATGCCAAACCATCCGCACGCCAGCAGAACGTTTGACCGCGCACGAAGGCAAGTGTGTAGCGCATGCTGGCCTGCAGTGTAGGAGGACGATCGGGCAATGCCCGGGAGTCAAGTCAAGCAGAAAAGTAGGTTCCAGTCCCTGGTCGGGGGCGTGGTCGTCGTCATTGATATTCTTCGCTCAGAGCTCGTCCTCTCGGAAGCCCTCCGAGCGGCACCGAACTAGTTTCTTCATCGTTACCCCCTCATGTCATGCTATTGTTCAATCGCCATCCTACATTACCCCTCGATGGACCAACGCGTCCTCCTCCCAGGCCTCCGACATCTCGATACAGTCGAACCTCCAAACCCTGGTCTTCTCCGCCCTTCCCCCATGACTGGCTTTTCCAGCCCGATCCAGGACCCTGAAAACGGCTTCCAAAGTTCTGAACAATCTTAGGCTGCTTTTTCCTGCAGCGTAATTCGACATGGAAATTGTCAGGTTCCCAACTGATGGGAAGGGGACTCCACGCAGCAACAGTTGCCCAAGGAGAGCGGACATGAAGAAAAGCACCTAGCAGTGTCGAGGAACATGCAAATCGGAACACCCGTCCACGGACAACAACAAAAACATTTCCCGAGTCGGCCTCTCGGAGTCGGCCAAATCACATCGAACCAGACCGAGTGGGCAGCGAGGTTGTCCGACATCGGCCTGCGACGCGGGAGGAGGAAACGCAGCAACGAAGGAAGCCTTGGTGATTTCGGGTCTCTGGAGCTCGACACTTCCTGCCTCGGCAGGGACGCCCGGCACCGGCCGCCGGCGGGGCCTGGGAGCCAACGACCACGCTGCCGAAGAAGAGGGACTGCTCGCTGAGGCGCACCTCCGTGGAGTGGCCGGTGCCCGCCACCTGGAGCAGCTTCACCTCCCAAGCGACGGGGGCGTGCGCCCCCACCCCCCAGACTCCCTCGCGACGTGGGCAGAGCTCCTGCTTGCAACTTTCGGCCCACCCCCTCCTGAGCGGCGAGCATATCCCTATCCGCGCCCTCGCGGTTTGGATTCCGGACGTGGTCCTGCGGATACGCGGTCGCACGCATGCGTTCCGCGCGGAACATCCGCGACAAACACGCCCTGTATATCCGCGGGCTGCGGCCCAGGGGCCCGGCCGGCGAGGCCGCGGATGAGGATATTCTTTCCGCTCTCGTTCAGCGGGAGATCTCTGGGGGCCCTTGCTCAGCCCTGGGGCTGTGCCAGAAAGACTCAGGACGGAACACTGGTTCAGGAGAAGGGGTCGAGACATACGGGGGTCCACGCGAGGGAGAAAGACACTGCGCCAGAGATATGGGAACATGCTCATCGTCGTGGGTCACCCATCTCTGACCGCGCTCGTGTCCGACCATTCCTCCCTCCAGGCTGGCAGTAGACTCTGGACGGCCCTCGGGAGAACAACCAGACCCCAAAGAACGAGGCGTATAGTCCAAGGCCGATGAAGAAGCATGATCTGCGGACTGGGTCAGGGGCCCAATACGCAAATCATGGAATCGGCAGAAACCAATTCGCAATAGCGGTGCGCGCTAAGAGATCGGCGGGCGGGGAACGCTTTCATTTGCCTGGGAGATGTGACGCCGAATATTCTTCACAACGTGGACTCCCGGAAATCTCGCCCTCTTGGGAGGCGACGAGAAGGGTGAATCCCCCAGGGGTGGGCATTACACGTATTCGCTGGGGAGCCTCGCCGAGGAGACGGACCATCGGCGCCCTGGATGCATGGCGGATTCCGGGCAACCTGAACCAACAAATCTCGCCATCTCTGGGCGCGGGCGATTTTTACTTCCGGCAGCTTCTTCCGCCAGCTTCCTCTGGCGGAGGCGGCCTCGCTTCACTTCCGCCGCCCTTCCACCGCCTTCCACCAAGGAAGAGATGGCAACTCCTGCGACCCTCGAAGGCGAGGCCATTTCTAGGGCGCCCCACATGTGTTCGCCGCTATCGTCGCCTCCAATCTCTCATGACCCATTCCTCGGGGCCGCGTTTTATTCCGAGCAGGTTTTTGCACGGCCCCAGTGAGGACCCCCGACTTTTTAATATGTATGTATGTATGTATGTATATATATATATATATATCAGTATGTAGGTATTAAAAGTTATAAATGTATACACATATACACATGTACATATATAATCACAACAACAAAAAAACAACACATAAAAACAACAAGACAACTGCCGGGGCGGACGAAAGCGAAGGGTGCGGAGGGTAGCAAAGGGGCGGACGAAAGGGCGGGGTAGCAAAGGGGTTAGCGGATCAGCCCTGGAGGCAACGACTGGCTCTGGGGGGTCAGATCCGCAATGGTCTCCCGATAGTGACTCCGCACACCACTCTGGGGCGGGGCGGGGCAGGTAGGCGATGACTGAGCGATGGAATGTCGAGGCCCCCCCACCCAGGACAAAACCCCCGCCGACGGACCCCCTGAAGCTCACGTGGCAGGTTTCCCCGGGTTCCCGGCGGCCCTGCCTGCCACCGCGGCCCCGAGCTGTGATGAATGAGCGGTTGAATGTCGAGGCCCTCCCCGGGGACAAGGCCCCCCACAGCGACCCCGAAGCTGGTTTCCCCGGTTTCCCGGCGACCCTGCCTGCGCTGGCGGCGCCGAAGCCAGCTGCCCGCAGCAGGTCTCGCACCCCGCCCTTCCCGATGCCCCCCCCCCACCCTGCGTCCGAGCCGCCAGGGGGATAGAGCGATCGCTGGCACGTTTCTCCCTGATGCGGCCTTCGTCGATTCGGCTCCCAGGCCGTAGCTCACACCACTCCAGGGAGGCCAACCCGTACGCGTGAGCCACGAGTCTGGTTGGAACGCGTTTAAGTTCGGCGATGACGGGCGTCACGGGGTTGGGGGGAGCAGGGGGGGTATGACGTAACGCCCCCCCCGCCGTGTGGCTCCGGCACCACAGCCGCGCCCGCGCGCACGACGCGACGAGCGACAAGCGACGACGACGACGACGACGCGAACAGCATGTAGGTGGCGATCTGCCCCACTGCGCCTGTGTACACCACAACGCTCGCGTGCACCACAGCGCGCGTGTACACCACAACGCCTGCGTACACCGCAACAACCGTGTGCAACGCAGCGCCTGTGTACACCGCAGTGCTCGCGTACACTACAGCGCCGGTGTACATGTGCACAGCGCAGCACCCATGTGCAACACAGCGCCTGTGTACACCACAATGCTTGCGTGCACCGCGGCGCCTGTGCACGCCTGTCAACACCACAGCAAGCGCGTGCAACGCAGCGCTATTGTACACCACAACGCCTGCGTGCATAGGACACGTAGAAGGAGCCTGTACGTGAGGATCAGCTGCGACGGCGCCACGCCAGGAAAGTGCTGATAATCGAATGCGACGTTCTTCCCTCTTCCCTCCTCCTCCTCCTCCTCCTCTTCTTCCTTCTCCTCCTCCTCCTCCTCCTCCTCCTCCTCCTTACCCCCTGTCGTGCGGGTTGGCGCTACAGCGCACGTGCGCATCTCGGCGTGCACCGCATCGGCCCACTTGGTTCTCGGACGGCCAATTTAGCTGGAGCCTCGTGGACGCAGAAGGGAGGAGTTACGGTGATGCGGGCGAATTCGGAAGGACTCGTAGATTCCCCTGGCGCTCCTTTGTCCATATGGATTAGTTTCTATTGTTTTCTGTGGGATCCACAAGCGCTCCATTTTGTCATAACGGTTCCTTCTAACATTCTGCATGCAACAGGGGTGCTGTGTTGCACACGGTTGCTGTGGTGCACACATGCGCCGTGGTGCACACAGGCATAGCAATGCACGCAGACATTGTGGTGTACACTGGTGCTGTGTAGCACACGGCTGATGTGGTGTAAACAGGCGCTGTGGTGTACACAAGAGCTGATATGCCCGCGCG